CTGAGATGGCTTCTCCCTGAGATGGCTTCTCCCTGAGATGGCTTCTCTCTGAGATGGCTTCTCCCTGAGATGGCTTCTCACACAGCCCTGGCCCCTCCAGTGTGCTTCCTCACAGCCATTTTGAAGAACTGCTGTGGGAAAATGTCTCTGGCACCAATTAATCCAGTTCTGAGCTCTATAGACCAAATGTGGGAGGAAAGCAAAGCTTTGTCTAGATACCCAGAGTTAGCACTTCCAAGTCAGATCTACGGAAGGCAGAAGGAGACCACAGCATGCCCACCCTGGTCCAGTCTCAGGACACAAGGTCCTGGGGCCAGAGTTACCCAAGGACAGACCCACAGAGGGGTCTGGAAACCAAAGTCCACACCAGGCCAGAGATGTCCTTGAAGTGTGTGAAGTAGAACTGATCCTGAAAGGGAGTTGGAGGCCGAGACCGGGACCTGGAGGAGGTGGTGCTGGGCTGATGTGGAAGCGACCACAGAGCAGACAGCTGGAAAAGTGCTCCTGCTGCCCCTGCTGCCTTTTCTTTCTCTTCTTCTTCACACTATCACCCAAATGGCTTAACAGTTTCTGCAAGAGGAGCAGACCAGCCCACTCAGGGTAGAGCAGACCTGGGCTCGGCTCCTGAGTCCCTCACTTGCCCTACTGAGCCTTACTTGTTGCATCCAGAAAGGTGGATGCATCACCCTGTTATCATCCACAGGAGACAATAATTCCCACGTCAGAGAGCCACTGTGCATATCACGTGACATCATGTAGGCCAAGAGCCCAGCATCGTGGCTGTACCAGGGAAGCTGCAGAAGAAAGTCTAGTTTCCTTCCCTTCCTCCCTGCCCTCAGTCTCGCTACACATCTGTCTACTAAACAGCTGTAATTCTCAAATCCTTCCTCCTCTAACAGAAAAGCTTTGTCTGCCATAAAACATTAGCAAATACTGATTGAGCTGGGGATTTTCTGGGCAGCGCTGTGTGAGCGCATGCGGCGTGCGCTCATTTGATTTGTAGATATATTGTAATGACTTTTCGCACGCAGAACCCACTTGAGGGATTGCTAAGGAAAGCAATAATGCAGCGCCACTGCTTTTCTCTCAACCCTTCTCTCCCTCTCATCAGATATCATAATCCTTTTGCCTCCCTAACTTCTTGACTGTGGGAAAACCCCAATCACTTAGCTTCTTCCCCTACCTTGAAAATAAAGTAATTGTTAAGACCTTATAACTTATGAGTTATAACTTATTGTTAAGACCTTATAATGTCTGAGCGCAATTTCAACCCTCTCATTGCTAAGGCGGTAACCCCAATGAGCATTAGACAATGTTATAAGTCTGAACATGAAGTAGAGATACAGGATTACTTAGGATGAATTGGAGTTCTTTGTGAAGCTGCACCAATCTTATAGGAAGGATAGACTTTGGGTGGACCTAGTAGCCCGAGCCATTAAGTCACCTGGCTGCTAGTTACTCTCCCACAGACCCTCAGCAAGGCCTTGGTTGCAACTTTCCGACTTTGAGATCTGATGACCTGTGTTAAAAAATCTGCATTAAGGTTCTGAAGTCAACTCAAACTACTAGTGGTGCAACACTTTTTGTCCTCATCTTTTCAATGAGTGTCATGGAAGTCTCTCATGCACTTTCTTTATGATTGATATCAAGTACCAGCCTCCAAGACACAAGCTAAGGATATCATCAGTGTTCTCTTCTTTGTTTTTTAGGTCTAGGTCATGGCAATGTGGAGTCACCAACAAACATGCCTTCTCTTCCCCCTGACCATTTTGCATGGAATCTGACCTGGATAATGAAAGATTCCTTCCCTTTCCTGTCTCATCGCAGTCGATATGGTAAGCATGTAAATTATACATTGTATTGTTGTCTGAACTGGTGAAAATTTTATTTTTTATTTCAAAATATTAAGAGGACACAAAGGTAAGTATATTTTTGTTAGTTCTTTGTGCTGCACCATCACCATCTCATAATTAAGGACTCCTCCAGTTTCGGGGGGTGGCTCATAGTGCCGCAGGGAAACCTCAGCCCCTCTATGTGTAAAATAAGTCTTTCTGTGCCCTCTGTCTCCCAACAGATCCTAACCCCACCAGACCATTCCAGCGAGCCCATTCTAGCTGCATTATGTATCCTTGTGGATGCCAAGGGCTTTGTTGCTGCCAAATCCCTTCCCTTCAGCCTTTATGGTACATGCTACTCCCACCACTTCCTCTCAATTAGGAAATGTTATGCATTGATCTCATCTGATGAATGTAGGGTTCTAACCATGGAATTTTTACCAATCATGATCTCTTAAGCGGGGATTGTTATTATGAAGGTCACAGGTCTTCCAGGGCCCCTTATGTGTGGCTAACTCCTTGCAGTTTACTAAACATGTCCTTTGTTACTATTTTAGCACATTTTGCAACAGCTTTAGAGGTAAAGAGAGCAAGTCCAATTCCATTTTTACAGATGTAGAAACTGAGCTTACTAAGATCACACAGAGTGGCTTCTCTAGATGTAAACCCGGAATTCTTCCCTAATTCACTTTTTCTCCCAGGGGCCACCTTCTCAGCTGGGGACCTGTCCTAGGAGCCCTCAGGAGGCCATCTTTACATGGTGTAAGGTTCCTTCCCCTCAGTGCTCATCCTAACAGCTCAGAGCAGCTGGGGCTCTGAAGTAGATAAAACAGTTTTGGAGGAGAGGTGATGCATTTCTGGGTGAACATTTTTCTTTTTCTTGAACTCCTCTGGGGTGAACCCCGTGAGGGCAGGCACTAAGCTTTGCTCTCCACTATATCCATTACAGAGAAGACATTCATAAAGACTCATTTATGATGAATGAACACAGAAGGCCTCCAGAGAGGAAACTCATTCATCAGGCCTCATTCAATTAAGTATTTATGAACCCAGTGCAGCGCTGAGTTCTAGATTCCCTTTTGGGCATATTTACTTATTCTTGTTTCTTAGTCTCTGCCCTTGGGCCTGAGCTATTAAAATGCACCTAGCAGAGATGGTCCACTCGCTTTAGAAAAGCTCTCAGTCCAAAGCCTGCTGTCTCCCATCTGCAATATTCTTGCTTCATATTAACTATATCTTTAATCTCAACCTTAAAAAAATAAACACATCAAACCCTGCTAGGGTAGTTCAGAATGCTATTCTGTGCTGGGATGTTTCCTGTTACTACCACATATCCTAGTGAGAAAGATTGGTGGTCCTCAGAAGATTCCAGATAAGAACTACTTCTTAATTTTATTTAAGCCAGACACCGAGTGCCATCTTATGATAAGGGCAAGTATTTATGAATAATTGAAATCTGGTCCTTTACATTGTTAATGCTTCATAACCAGATTTGCAATCCGACAGGTCTTCAGATAACACTTTTGCGTTTGCTCCCAAAGTCATTCAGTATCTCCATAGGAGAGCAACTTTTATGAAATACAGCATGTCCAAAGAAGGCAGGTCTGCCTCCTGCATGCCACACAGGGCAACAGACATAGTATTCGTTCCTTGGAAGAGGTTGCAAGCTGAAAGAGGAAAACCACTGGGGCATATTAAGCTGCCCCCCACCCACTGCTTGGCCCTGATGAACCCACCTGATCTCTGTCAGCCTCATCTTCCTCGCCTATAAAACGGGAGTGGGCTGGCTTACCACCTTGGGGCAATGGAATAGGTGTGAACGTTCTCCAAGATCTTGTGCCACCTCTCCTTGGGGCCTAGAAACCCTTCTTAGCAGAGTAGAGGACCCAACCCATTAACCAGTCATTGCCCAAATGCTGCGTGAGGGCACTAAAGTCAGCCTCATTGATCACAGCCGGGAAGGGGGGGAGCCCATTCTTGATTGGTGCCCTTGCTGAGCACTCAGCTAATTCCAGCACTTTTTTATCTTCCTGCCATATTTAATTTGGCTGAGATTTATGAAGATCCCACTGCCATCACCACCTCTGTGAGCCAGATGCTGGAGGTGATGCAAATACAAAGACAAGTACCAGCTCGGCCCTGCCCTCCCAGGGTTCACAGGCCAGAGAAATCGTGCTGGAGGCGGTGATGCCCACAGCCATGGGAAACAGTTTCTGTGGGCCGGCCTCAGAGCACAAACCTTGAGACCTGGCCTTGAGACCCAGTGCAGAACAAGCTGAAGGGAGAGTTGAGGCCAAGAGTCTGGACCCTGTCAGTATCAGTATGTTCTTTACGGGGGGAATGACTCAGCCCATAGGTCTATGGACCAAAGAGGCTAGCAGGCTCATGGGTGATAAATCCATACTTTTCAACTGCCGTGAAAGACATTTTAAGAAATGTTAACAACTTCATTAATTTTAAGGCCTCAAACTTGGGCAGAGAAATTTGACTGGAAAATTGCCGCCTGAAGGGATAGTTCTTCAGACAGCGAGATGTCACCAAGTCTCAGCAAGTCCGGACTTGACTGGCTATCTGTCCTGCATCCTGGAACTCCAGGCTTTATTGGTTATCTCTCCTGCATCATGGGGGGGTTGTGGCAGGGGGCCCTGAGAGTGGACGTCAACAACTTGGCCACAGTCATCGTGATGGACAGAGGCCAGCTGGTCCTCTCTCAGGCAAGCTGTCCAGTCCTCAATTGAGTGTGGCTTTTTCCTACCAGTGTTTTATGAGTAGAGATGGAGTAGAGAGAGGCTAATAAGATTTACTCACCCCTAGCCTGTAATTATCTGCTTCAGGAAAAAGTTTGACCTACCTTTTTGAAGGCTCCCCATATTTCTTCTCATTTGCGTTGGGGCCTTTTATGTTGTGTAAAATATACTCTCTTCAGTGGCATTTGGTACCAATTCCAGTTCTTTCTGGCCTCTGTCTTGAATGACAGGAGCCCAGTAATTTTATCATCAGTGAACAGAGAGCCGCACGTTCCTCCCCCAAGGCTTTGAATGAGAAAGGACATTTAAAGAAAGACGTCTCCCCCTTTTATCACCAGCACTAGTGCCTTTAGACTTATTTATTCACTTGTCTAAAAGATTAGGCTTTAACTACCTAACCAGATAAAAATCTTTCCCATAGTAGCACCAGATGCTGAGAGACTGAGGCCACCGGGAGGACTTTGGAAAGGGAGTTTTGATCACCTTGAGTCCTAGAGCCACAGAGACAGATGGTGTCCTTCCAACTTTAATTCATAGTTGCCCACTTTGAGTTGGGGGAGAATCAGATCAGCATTTTAAACAGGATGACCAAAGATTCAGCCCCATGTTAAGTAAGAGAAAGGAAATTTTCATATCTTTAAATATCAACAACAACAATATGAACTTTGCACTCTTTCATACCCATTTTTTGCATTTAAAATTGCAGGAGATAGAAATTAGTTTATATTTCATTTTTACAGAAATGCAAATTGAAGGTCAAAGGAATTCACTAGTGGGCTTTCAATGCATGGGGCAGGTGAGCTGAAAGTGTTCTTGGAGCCTCTGATCGGAGACGCAGGAAAAGGAACTGCAGATGGGATGATTGATTTGAAGGGAGGTCGAGACTCACTCCGGTCAGCGACCAGGCCTGACTTTACTGATTATCTTATATACTTTCAAACATTCTGTAAGAATTTAACACAGATACAAAGAAGTGAAGTAACATTAGGAAGCTACCATTAAGCTTACAATTCAGTGTGAACACATATACAATTGATTTTGTTTAAAGTAAAAACATAAAGGAGACTGACTGTCTATTCTTGCTGGCCCAAATCGAAACTAGAGATTATAATGTTAATGAAGGAAGAAGACAGAGAACAGAACCCAGCTCAAGAACATGTATTCTAGCTTCCAGCTGCACCCTGGCCTGATTCTCCATGATCTCTTCTAAAGAGAGTTATTCTGCATATTTCTGCATATCTATAGGCAGGTGCAGAAGCTCGATCTTTGAAGAAATCTTTCTCAGAATCAATCTCCTGGGCGAGCACATTGAAGCGAACTGCCATGTCTAAGCATGGGGTGTTTATCTCTACAGTGAGCAGTTAGAAGAGTGACCCTAGACTTCCTGACTCCAAGTTGGGTGTTCTTTCTATCACATTGTGGAGTTATTTCAAAGTTGAGCCCCTCTCCTTGGAGGGCATTCTCGCTTCCTGGACAACCTGTTGTTTGAGCTGAATGGTGGATATAAAACTAAAGACCTTGGGCATCTAGGGGACCAAGACTTATGGCCCAACGGAGATGACCCCAGGCAGGCCAGGTCATCCAGCTCCTCCTAAGCAGGGACATAGGCTGGCCTTGTCTTCTCTCCCTTCTTCTCCACACCCCAGACTATAGTCATTGTTGTGGGTAGCATAGTATCTCCCAAAAGGGCATGTTAAAGTCCTAACCCAGCAGTACCTATGAATGTACCTTCTTTGGAATTAGTGTCTTTATAGATATAATCAAATAAAAATGAAGCTGTCCTGGGTTAGAATGGGCAGTAATCCGATGTAACTAATGTCCTCGTAAGAAGAGAAAACAGAGACACAGACACAGGGCAAACCCCACATGACAGCAGAGTCAGAGGCAGAGGGGTGCGTCTACAAGGCAGGGAACGCCAAGGACAGCTGGTGACCCTGGAAGCTGAGAGAGGAGGCAATAGATTCTCCTAGAGCTTCGGAGGGAGCATGGCTCTGCCAACTCCTTGGTTTTGAACTTCTGGCCTGTAGAATGGAGAGAGAATAAGTTTCTGTTATTTGAAGCCATCCAGTTTGTGAGGCTTTGTTGCGGCTGCCCTGAGAAACTCCTACAAACCCTCATCTCTGCAGCCCCCATGTACGGAACACAGACTCCTGGAAGACCGTGTTCCTCCCAGCATCCAAGCACAGCAAAGCCATTGTTGGGCTTTGAATAAAAGTTCTATTCAAACTTTGTGTGTTTCCCAGTCCGCGGGGA